GGTGGTGGTGGTGGTGGTGGTGGTGGTGGTGGTGGTGGTGGTGGTGGTGGTGGTGGTGTGACGTGGAAAATGACCGTGTTGTATCAGTGACCCATCAAGACAGTTTTCGTGGAAAAAAAACTATTGAAGATTGATGGTGGAAGTATTTTGTTGACAAAGACCAGATGTTTACTGGGTAGAGAACCATGAAGTTACTGCTTTTTGGAAATGCAAGACCGTAATTACATTGATAGCAACACATAAGAAATACAAGGAGTCCTGAGCGACTGTAATTCTACCAGCAGTTCAGGTGCTGAAGCAGGAAGTCGGTTTAAACGACTGAGTGTGTCGTTGGATAGAAACTAGTCCCGTTTAGCAGCAGTAGGCGTGGGAGAATAAAATCCCGTGTTCACTAATGACAGGACTCGTATTACAGTCAAACCCACCGAGTGCTGCTTGGGATTTTACGCGTGTGTGATCACACAGGAGGCGCTAAGCACTTGCCAAATCGCCACACACACGCCGAGAGAACTGAGCAACCCACAGGCGTGTGTCTGCGTGAGAGAAAGCACGCAAGTAGCCTATGCATAAGGAAACAGGCATAGCGTGCACATAACGCGATGGGGGGGAAACGGAATTAATTACAGCCAAATGGCACTGCCACTGGTTACCTCATCTGGCCATAACAGCAGCGCTGGCGATCGCAACAAACTGCATAATTGATAAAAACACGCCAACCCATGGAGAACGCTGTTCGTAAAAGGGACCAGGTGATCTTAGAAGTCTGCGTATGTCTGCATGTGTTATAAAGATTGTATCAACACACACAGAAACACACGTGCGTGCGTGAGTGCGCGCCTGGGACAGTGCGCGTAATGAGTCACTTGCGCAGACCAGGCGTGCATTCTGACTGTACAAACATCTGATGAACTCTACTACCGAAACGGCAGGCGTACACAGGCACAAAGCGCGATCATTGCGCGTTTGGGTAAATCGGGCCCAATAGCCATTAACTGAAAGGCTGGTAAAGCAGCTGCAATATCATTGGCTAGGGGAATAGGTCACTGCGGCTTCTGATTGGTTGGATTGTAAAGGTGCCGGTCCTAATGAGTTACTCTGGGCAAACGATATAGTTAATAAATGTGTCGACTTAGTGAGGCGATACAGGAGAAGAGACTTGATAACGATAATGCCCGCCACCACAATGCCAATTTGACGAAATCTGCAATCCGAATTCTCGACTAGGACAGGCCTACCACATCTTCCAGACTTGGATCTATCGCATTTGCATCCACTCCGATTTCAATCCAACAATTCGCGCGAGGTCCCATTCAACACTGTCATGCTGAGACAAATTTGTCGAGTCAAAGAGCATCGGAAAACCTGTTAATCGTTGAGAAGAACTGGTAAATGGCGGTAAACTATGAATTGCGTTCCTCGGCCCGTGGCGATGGTGGAGAGGACTCCAAATTTAAGTACTTCATCTGGCCACGGACGTTTTAGGTACGATTTCGGCGGAGATGCCTGGTACATACAATGTCAGAGAAGGTACTGCGTGGTTACCTACTTTGGATTTTTCAGCAGCTTATGCGACTTCGAGTTCACTGCCGAATGGCCAGATGGGTGAAAGGGGTAGAGGGGGTGCATGGGTAGACGGTCCCCCATGACAGACGGGCTCGCTGTGAAAAGGGGGCAGTCAGTTGGGGAATGCGGATCCCAGGTGAAATGAGTGTTAGTCAACACAGGTCACAACACATTATTAAGATATATCTTACTATTAACAAAGATCGAATTTAAACCTGTGTACTGAACGTAAAACGATCGATGCTGGGTTTGAGAGCTTGATTAAATCAATGTGATCAAAGGGGAACAACGCTAGTGAGCCGTTTGAGCATCGATCGCCAGCGGAATCAGACGATCCTGGGAGTTGCCAAAAAGGGGTGTGACAGGGCTCGACAAGACCCATTTTTTGACGATAACCCGGGCTTACATCCTGCTTTATACCAAACACTTCAAAGTAATGCACGACTAGAATCACGCAATTTAGGGTGGACGACAGTCGCAAATGTCGCGCCTATTAAGCAAGCCGCCTGCCAGTCTAAATTTAGCAGCTGAAACGACATGTCGGCAATTTACACGGGACTCGTAAAGTCATTAAAACGAAGCGGCGATAACAGCAATACGCCATCGAGGGGTGAATTTGGATGGGGCAAGTCAAGCGTGGGCAAGACGAGGTTGGAGCTATCCCGAGTCCTTCAGGAAAGGAATACGATTCCTTAAAACTGGAACACAGGCGAAAGAACGACCACGAGAACGCTGGTAGCTTAGGATCGTCATTAAATCGTGGATAAAAAAAACAAGAGACGAGTCATCAAGGGAAGGAACCAGTACCACCAGTGTTTCCACTGACATAAGCTGCAACATTGTATGTATCCTGTTGGTTTTTACGGAGGCATTGTTGCTAGGTAACGGCTCTGAAGCGTAGCAAACAAACCCGGTATTTTATGGGTTAGGAAAAGAGTATAACTTAGAGGCGGAGGGGAGGAGGAGGCAGAGGAGGGGAAGAGGGAATAACCAGAAGCACAAGGCACAATCACGTCATTAGCCCAGTGTCCGGACGAAGCCATTCAAACAAGACCCTTCACTAATGCACGCGCAGCTTCGTAATCCATGACATTAATGCACTCAGAGCATGGCATAATTATGCTGTTTAGCTACGTGCAACCAAGTGATTTGCATGGACACCGAGAGAGGGTCAATGCGGGCACCGGGTGAGTCCGACTGGAACAAAAATTACATCAACTCTCACTCAAAAAAACCCAGCTGCATAGCGAGAATTCACCAGAAGGCATTACAATGAGGTCGGGTTTCACGGGCTTAGCTGGTGATCATGCGATTTCGCTGGTCATGCTGAGATTAGTAAAAACACGAGTGCATCAAGCTAATTGAGCAAGTAAGCAGCAAGCACTAGGGGGTTGTGTGGTGGCAAATTTGAACTGGCAAATCAAAGGAATTTGCACTATTACAACACCAAGAATTTTCATCGACCTTAGCGCATGCGTGGAGGGTTTAACGATAATGCGAATGCCATGAAAAACTTTTCAATTGACCTTGAAAATCCAGGCCATCTGATAAACGCAGCCAATAAAACAGAATGGCACGACCACCTACGGAGATAGCGAGTGCGCTACACACATTGCCCAATTGTTTTGCGTGAATTCGTCGTAATAACTGATGGATTTTTAGCACCACAACAGTAGAGTTGGTGCGATTTCAAGGTACAGCATTCTTGGAGCTCCGTTTCGGCTGAGGCTGTGGTGAAATCTAACGGCAGTTTTGCAGCGTGGGGACAATTTCGCCTCCCGCCAAATTCGACGCAAGTGTACAGGAGGGGCGTTGGATGAGTTGAATTCCCTCCACGCTTGAATGTTGATGAGGCTCGCACATTCCCCCACCTTGCCCCCCCCCCGAACACCTGCTTTAACAACCGTCGAATCGCAGATCACGAGGCCCTTAAACTTGGTCGCTAATTTGCGCGTCAACAGTTTGAGAATAAACACACGGAAGGTAAATCGCAAAGTTACACGGCTTTCTGTTTCTCAATCAAGAAACAGCAAAAACGCAGCACTAGGGAATTAAACACACTCAGATGTTTCCGTGGAGTTAGCCTAAATTAAAACCACTCACCCCCCCCGGGCAAATTGCGATGGAAGTAATTTATCCACCTCGATGTAAAAGGGAAAGTTCACTCGAGAGTCGTAAATATGCAAAAGCTGATGGGAATTTCATTCCAACAGGAAAAAATTTAGCTAAGTTGGGCAAGTGTCCAACAACATTCCATTCTACTTCCGATTAGTGCGTGTTAAATCATCACACGAATTTCAAGCCCTTTAACAACAGGCGAGGGGTGTACTATTGTGAAATTGCACACACGCACACACACACACACACGCACACCTTCTTGGAATTGACTTTTAAGTAAGACTTCAGCGTTAGGCAGTCGTTTTTGTGTCTGCCTTAGGAAGTAAATGCTATTTAGACCCTGTCATAGCTGCTAGACGCTTTGACACACAAAAGATGGCCCAGTTCGTTCACCGTCAACAAATGTGATTTCGAAATATTAAGGCGTTTCCCATACCTACCACACAAGACCTCCCAGTAAAACCAAGCGGTTTCCGTGCCAACTTGTTGGATCTGGGTTGTCAAGCGACATTGCACACCATTTCGACTGAGCGCCAGGCACGTGATTGGCTGACTCGTGGAGTTCCCTGGCTTCGAATTACGCACTTCCATTACGCCAATAACTACTGGTTGAGCATGAGCAAATATTGAGGACAAGACAGTAGATTCGTGTGAACTGCATTAGGAGTAGGCTGTGGCGATGCGCGTGAGTACACACTCATGGGGGTTGTGGATGCATTCAACAGCATGCTTAAATCGGATCAAAGAGAGAGAGGGGGAGAGGAAGGGGCGCGTACCTTAGCTCTAGCGTCGACAGCAGCTCCGTGAGAGAGCAGCAGTTCAGCAACCTTCAGCCTGGACGAGCGAGCGCCGAGGTGCAGCGGCGTCTCGCCGCGCATCGTCGCCTGGTCCACCGAGGCACCGTGCTCCAGCAGCAGACGCACCAGTTCGGGACTTCCAATGAAGGCGGCGACGTGCAGGGGAGTTAGACCGGCCTGATGGTGGGATGGGAGGAAGGAGTGAGAGGCGCTTTTGGCGCACAAACAAGGCAGCATCAAATGACAAACCTCTGTTGTGCTGGAGATCTGCGCGCCGTAGCCAAGGAGGAGTTCGGCTACCGGAATCTTGTTCTTTTTGCAGGCAATGTGAAGCGGTGTAAAGCCATTCTGTAGGAAGCCGAAAACGCTTTCACCAGTTATTAAACCGCCTTAAGGCGTTCCTCAACGAATATTCACGGTCTCGTGGTAAGGAAAGTAGGTGCGCTTGTGTATGAGTTACACACTACCACGATTTCCAGAGCATGACGATTTAGCCAAAAGTAGCCCCATTGGAGAATGCGATCTGAGGTTAAGTTGGCCCCCGTGGGGATGGAGCACTTCTATTGGTTGCTGCTAAAACACTGGTGAAACGAGGCCTAGCCACTTCGAGCTGGAAATTTACCATAAAGATCACCAAGCAGTCATCGTGAATGCGTCCGCAAACTCACCAAAGCGCGCGCGTTCATATCGCAGCCCTTGTCCAATAGGGTGCGAGCGACCTTCACGTTTCCACAATGGGCGGCGACGTGGAGGGGATTCAGGAAGTCCTAGAGGCGGGAATCAAAGGGGTAGAAAGAGGCATTAAAATCACCAGTGCAATAGAAATACCAAGGTTAGGAGCACGCACTCGAATTTCGAGCACAGAAAATTTACTATTGGCTGGTTAGGCGACCACTTGTACACTCGGAAATGGGGTCATTAAGGCTGTCCTCACCAACACAACACAAAAGATACCAAATACAGACGAAAAGCCGAGGTGTGTCTGCAAAACGCTCCGTAACAGTCGAGATTTTCTTAAAAGCAACAGCGAGTGAAAATACAGGCCCGCGGGAATGCACTAGATTGTGTCTATATTAGAATTACAAAAGCAAAGCAAATGCACTAACCGCGTGATTTTGACGCACGACACGAGCATACGTCTCAGAACGTCTTTGAACAGCCTTAATTGGAACCGGGAAGTGCCACATACATCAAAACGTTTTGAAGAAACCGAAGTGAATTATCTACAGCAGCCAAGTCATAGTTCAATTGATCGTTGACCCCTAAATACCACTATTAATGCTAGGGTATGTGAAACTTAAACTAGAATAGACCAAGGTGAGTAGACTCACGGGAAATTTACTCAGACTGGGACATTTTAAAAAAAAAGATTTAATAAAGGATATCTGCTAAAACCTGTAATATGAGTGCACAAACAACGTCGGCCAGTGTTGAGCACCACTAAGGCTAATTCTGAAGAGGGCGTTCAACCAAGGTGCAAAAGTAAGCAGAGGGAGGCGTACCCCGGTGACGGCCTGGAGACAGGCTCCGCGCGAGATCAGGTTACGGGCGACATCGTCGTGGTTGCCCTGGGCTGCCATGTGCAAGGGCGTGAGTCCGTTCTGGAAGAAGAGGGAACAAAAAGGTCTGGTTACATGGGCTAAATTGTCTTCAATTGATGCAAACTGCCAATCAACCAATCACCACCACCACCACCATCCACACAATATCTAAGGCGTTGATTTGAGTGACAATGAGAGCACCCCGGACCTGAGTTCACGAAGATCTTGACAGAAATCAAAGAGGACAAGCCGACGGTTAATGAGACTGCAAATTCGTAATCACCAAGACACTGGTCTATACAACTTAGGGAGAACCTGTATTGCGCGCGAGACATGTATTTAATTAAAATGCTGAACACATGTGTTGCCGAATTTCCGCCTGCACGTGACTAGGCGAGACAACTAAACTGAAGTGAGAGAAAGAGCGCATTCCGTTTCGGCTGCTTTGTAGGTGAATTTTTACACAAGCGATGTTTTCTTGGCCTTGCGACCGTTAGCACAGCAATAACTGATTGGCAGGAATACACACCTACGCCCCCCCGCACACCTTGTTAGTCGCCTGATCAGCATTTGAGCCATGTTTGTCGTGATGACACGGTGAAACAACCCGGTCAGCACGTTTCCAACGACCCCACGCCACCAAACGTGATTCAACAGCATCAAATTACATTGGTAGGAGGAGGAAGTGTGGGCCAGCAGTCAGCCACAACACTGCTCCAGCCGCCAAGTTACCAAAGCACACCGAAGCGATTCTTGCCACTTCAACGAGCGGGGCTATTTATGGCCACAGAGACCCACCCCCAATCTCCATTGTGATTGACCAAATTGGCCACATTTATCATCTCAGTGTTGCAAAACTGGAATGGAACAAACAACGGCGACTGCCTGGTAGCGAGCATGGCGGAGTTCCAGCATTCCAAGCGAATGTTGCCAGGGACAGTTACGACAGCCAAGAAGCCATAAGGTGCCTACAAGGTGGCTGTACATTGCAAATTCTGCCATGTTCAATCCACGTGCATCGGACAGGGATAGGTGAATCGCCAGTCGGCCTTACGGTGAACTGCCCACCGCGTGTTCCAGTTCAGCGTTCACCCTGTACACTTTACCCTTCCTTTCCACAACTGCGTAATTAATCGACCGCGTACTCCCTGCCTTAGCTGATCTGCCGTCACACCTATGTTGGTGCAGACTACAAGTAGACGTTGCTCCAATCGCATGTTTGCGTTTGCATACACACACACACAACACACGTCCATTGAGTCAGCTGTCTCATTGGCCTTGGAGTGTCTGCGTGTGGTCACTTCATCACTTCACCGAGATAGGTCTGATTTTGATTCTGTCGACGTAGCCCGACAATTCACGCACAAGAACCCCCCTCAGCGGCAGAGTGCGATTCGAATGCCAAGATGGCCTAGTTGGCAATCTAAGATTCAATCTCCACCCAATCCGAGAGCCAAGGAGCAGTGTAGATTTATTGCTACAACACCTGGGCTAACCAATCAGAAACAGGTGAACTGGGTCGACCCCCGGCAACAGCGTAATGTCTGGAAGGTCAGTCACCGACCGACAGGCGTTGGCCAATCGGAATTCGACCAAGCTTTGCGATTTTGGAATTTCAAGTTGCGACGCCGGCAACGACATCGAAAATACTCAGAAAGTAAATTTCACTGATGCATCGAGACCATTGTTTTCAATGTAGGGAATGAAGAAAAACCGATGGCAGCAATTTTAGACTAAAAAAGCCACTAGTGGGAGGAAAGGTGGCGCTTACCCACCTCCGCCAAGCTGTAACGCCCGGGTGAGTTCTCAAAGGAAAATAAGCGTCGATCAAAGTGGTAAATTTGTGCGCAGTTCCCGCTGTTAGCTGCACGACAAGGAAACTCGGAAATCGGTCCATCTGGTGCACCTACCACCGTCTATCGACATTACAGACCGGTAAAACGATCACACAGCCCTCAGAAGTGACACCTCCGACGCGAGCGGTGAGTTCTGGAGATAGCGGGGCTACTTGGCTCAAAGTGAAGTTCGTGGAATGAAGTTCAGATGTTTGTCAGCCATGCGAACCCAAGGAATGAGAAGCAGAGACTTTACGATTCGTCACTGCAATGAAAAAAACGCCCCGAATACGAAAACCGATGGATTGGAACCCCATGTGAACCATCCGGAAGACATTGAAGGAGGGTTTTAGGGGTTCGGAAGTGCTACTCATCCAAAAAATTGACATTCCAGAAGCGACAGAGTGAGGTTCGGACACTTGTGGATTACGAATTGGTCCGGAAGTCGTTGATAAAACAAAATATCCGGATAACTGGTTATCCGGGACATGCAACTACGAGGAACCAAGGAATTTTTGAAGGAAAAGCAGAAATATAATGAAATTGACAATTTCCTGAATGACCCTGACATTGGAACAAACATGTTATTGATTTGAACAATTCCCCTATCATATAGTCTTTTAAATTCCTCAGGCCAACGTGATTAATTTAATTTGGACCGCGTCGTAAGTGCGTCTGGAAGGGCACAAACGCTAGGTAGTTGGATTAACTCCGCATGAACGACGAATCGCCGCCGACGTTCAGCGACAGTCGACTCCACCGCAAACTCAGTCGGGTACACTTAAATTTCAAACCTTCCACTTGCGGACTGAGTGAGAATGCAAATTAAAGCACACACACCCATGCACAAGCCAATTCGATAGGCAGCGTCCTCCGTCACAGGGGTCGACCTGTGGCACGCATGTTTTGCGTGAGAACATTCGCGATTGCTAGCCATTTGGACAAGCAGTAAACAACTACGCGTGCACACACACACACACGCACACACACACCCACAACACGCTCTTGCTTGTTCAAGTGGTGCTACTGCTGCCACTGCTGCTTCCACTCAAAACACACACACGCTTGGATTGTGTGACGCAGATTTGAGGTGCGCGTGTGACCGCAACACCACCACCACCAGCAGCAGCACTCACCCTGGTCTTGGCCGAGGGGTTGCAGCCGGCGTCGATGAGCATGGTGCAGACGGTGTTGTGGCCGGATCGCGCGGCGCAGTGCAGCGGCGTGAGGCCGTCGCGAGTGCGGCTGTCCACGTGGGCGCCGCTGTCCAACAGCAGCTTCACCATCTGGACACGACCCCACTTGGCTGCCACGTGCAGCGGTGTCACGTTGTTCTGCAAGGGGCAGGGAAAGGACCAAAAAAGAAGGCAATCATTACCACTGAAGGCGTCGTCTAGTTTCTAGGGCATAAAAGCTCAACCACTCTACACCGTGTGCTCTACCTCGGAAGTTTGTAACTGTGACGTGTTCAAGTCTTCACGACAACATCAATTGTTATCTAGTGAGTTTACAAAAACCCAGATGAGAGCTACGAAGAGAGCAAACGGGAGAACACGTTTTAACTTGACTCCTGTGCTGCCGTGTCCAAGAGACCATCGTGCCGCAGTTGAGCAGCACACCACGCCGCCGACGCGACGACAACAACTGTGATCGGATCCAACACACCAGCCAATCGTGAAGCCTTACACGCCAATTACTGTGCCTCAGCTTGAAGCAAATCTAAACCTCGCTAGAATCCACCGAATGCGTCATTACACACACTCACTTTTAGCACAGCGAGGAAGCGCCACTTGATTTGAGGCGGTAAAGTAGGCCTGATCACAGGTAGGCGCAACACAGAAACACGTGTTTGTGTGTGTGTGGATGTTTGGATAGCAGACGTTATTTACCTTGGCGTACAGCCGCAATCGGCGCAAGGTTAACATGTGAAATTTTCAACACAACAAGGCAGCTAGACTCATGGTAGAAATTGGCTCAAATGAATTATCAATGGCAACAGCGGTTGGAAGCAAACAAGTAATCGGTAGGACATACTCAGGGTTTAAACAAACCGCATTTTGTGCAAAATAACGCAAGTTAAAGTATTTAAGAAGGTGTTACCATGCACAATCGGAGATAATAGGCACGCTGACGATGCGCAAGCAAATTTACTTGTACACAATTGGATGGAAACCAGATAAAGGAGTACCAAAGTGGCGACTTCCAATGATTTAATTACACTTGCGGCATAAACAATTACTTTAGATAACAGTAAGCACGAGCATTTTTTGCAGACAAAGTGAAATTGAATTGACCGAAATGGCGAAGTGCGAAGGAGTATTTTGGAAATATCCTGCTCACTTTTTACTGGAGATTAAAAGCGATTTATCCGGGTCACTAAATTTGCCGGTGCTCCCCAATTAAATACCCCACCAATAAGGTAACTCAGAGATTTTTCCGGTAAAATGGCATAGCATAAGAGGCATGAATTGAGAGAACACGTTTGCTTACCTTGGCCTGGAAATTGACGTCTGCGCCGCGCTGAATTAGGAGCGCTCCGACATTCGTTGAGCCGTAGTGCGCGGAAATGTGCAGGGCGGTGAAGCCGGGCTGGTGCGGGAAGAGAGGGAAGTGGACGAAAATGCCTCGGTTAGCACAAGGTTGTGGCAGGACTTAGCATTTTTACCCCGCTGCAGTGCATGTGAGCCGGAGAGAGCCACAAAACACCCTCCCACTTGATGGCACTGAGCAAGACTAACGCCAAAACGTTACACCAACAAGCGGAGTAACGTTGCAGGCGAGTGCACCCGCACAACGCAATGAAACACTCCACACGCGATTAAGGCAAGTTGGTTGCTGGGAGAATTTTCAACAAAATTGTTTGACGTGACACGGTGCGGGAAGGTTTTTTCCTGCTTAAAAAAAGCACACCCACAAAGAAGGTGGACATTTGCAACGACTCGGGTCGTGCGACACGCGAAAAGCTCATGGGGAAAAACAACAACAACAACAACCAGAATATGTTGTTTGCTTTTGAGAGGGGCGGAAGAGGAGGTGCGCTGACAACTCAAACGATGTCTAACCGCGTCAGAACGCACACACACACACACACAGGAATATAAGTGCCCGCTTAAACACACACGCGTTTTCCACGAATATTTAATGGCTACGGTAGATTCCCACATCAGCCAAACGGGCTTAACTCGGTTTCTCAAACGAGAATACTCTAACCAACCGAGTCTGAACAAATAAACGCAGGCCATGGCAACGGCTTAGCAGCGTGAGAGCACACTCAGCGAACTGTTGGCGGGTCCTGTGTTTAACAGCAGGGGGTTAGACTGCAAGAGACACCTCGTGGTGTTCAAGATCGCCTCAAAATTCAGGCTGAAGGGTGGTCTGACTCACCTGGGACTGGTGATTCACATTGGCGTCGGGGCTCATGAGCAGGAGGTTGGCGGCGCTGACGTCGTCTTTGCGCGCCGCCACGTGCAGTGCAGGGAGACCCGCGCGACTCCTCGAGTCCCGCTCCAGCAGAGTCGCCACCACCCGATCGTGGCCCTGTTGAAGGGCTACCGCCAATGGCGTAAAACCGTCCTACAATCGGACACACACGCCTAACGCCTGCCCGGGCACAACAACGCGACGTGAAGTCGTGGTGGTGGTAATGATGATGATGGCGGTGGTGGTGGTGGTGGTGGTGGAGGCGGTGGTGGTGGTGGAGGCGGTGGTGGAGGCGGTGGTGGAGGCGGTGGTGGAGGCGGTGGTGGTGGTGGAGGCGGTGGTGGTGGTGGAGGCGGTG